AGAGTTCTTTTTTTTTTTTTTTTTTCTTTTTTTTTTTTTTTTTTTTTTGAGAGTACTTTTCTCTATAAATTCCTTTGATAACACTGTCAGGTGACTCTCAGAACTCCACAGTGTTTGTATGTGGGCTGGCTGGTAGAGGTACAATTCTGAGAAAATGAAGACTGAAAAACAGTTCCAGGCCGGCCCAGGGCTGATTAAGTGAGCCAGATCCCACAGGGTCAACCAAGCAGTTCAAGTCCTGGATCAAGCAGCTTGAGAAACACACCAGGGATATGTGTGTGTGTGTGTGTGTGTGTGTGTGTGTGTGTGTGTGTGTGCCCAAAATCCCAAAAAGAGGGAGAACCAGAGAAAGATTGCAATGAGGTCATGCCCTGAAGGGGAGATACTTTTTCACTTTCCCTATCTCTCTTCTCTCTGTCTCTCTCCAGTGGGCACTCATGGCCTCTGACAAAAAAAAAAAAAAAACAATAATTCCAATTATGATACAATTTACTTCTTTTAGTCTAAAGCAGGAAAAATGAGGACTAGTCACATCCAAGATCCAGATCCTCAGTTTTCCTTGCATAAGTGCAGTGGATAATATGTTGGGTGGAGGGGTCAGATGTGTTATTTTTCCTTCCCAAAGAAGAGTACAAGTTCTTGAAAGTCTTTGAAAAGGCACAATCTCGATCTCATCCCTAAAGTTAGACCTACCTATACCCTGACCACAGAGGGTTTCAAATGGTAGATAGTTGTGAAGTGGAAGCACAAGTAAAAACACCTTATTTTTGTCTTAGAGAAATTTTGCTACAGGGCATGTGCTCACCAGAGAGACAGATAGTGACAAATGACCCCCCCACTTCCTAGGGAGAGAGGTGCTGGCCACGCCATAGTCCCTTTTCCTCCGTTATCCTCTCAGGATTTTGGGTACACGTGTACATGTGCCCAGCAGGTCCAGGACTCAAACCGTGGTCAGCCATGTAGGAGTCCAGCACCTCAACTGCTAGGCCACCCGCTGGTCCCAGAAGACACCATTTAAAAACAAATAAACAAAACCCTATTTGTTCCCTGCCACTACTATTTATAACTCTTAGAGGCTAGCTCAAAAGAGAGGTTAAAGGTGGGGGGGGCTGGCAGGTGGCATGGTGGTTAAAGGCAATGGACTCTCACATGGCCAACCGCGATTTGGGTCCCAGACCTGGTAGCTTGCTTGCTCTCTCTCTCTCGTCAAATTAAAATATGTAAATAAATAAATAACTCTTTTTTTTCCTTTTATCTATCTATTTATTTATTTATTTATTTATTTATTTTGCTATAGGGCACGTGCGCTCGCCAGACAGAGACAGAGAGACAGAAAGCGAGAAATCACCCCCCAGGGGGGATGGACACGCTGCAATCCCTTCTCCTCCATTCTCCTCTCGGGATCTTGGGCACACACGCACACGCAC